CAACTGCTCTTTGCCAAACTGCTCTTTGCCAAAGCACAGCGGTTTGCACTGCTGCTTTCACGTTTACCCTTGTCTTCCACTCACCTGACACACGATGCCTAAAGCCACTCTTCTCTGCCCAACCATTAAGAATGTCCAGACGGACATTATTTAGCTAGAACTGGGTGTAAAGGAGATGTGGCAAGGAAGATTCGTGCTACAGAACCCAAGCTAGGTGACTGACCCTCAGAGCAGTTACATAATCTTGGATGGGACCCCATCCATAAGATTGCAAAGGCCACCCTTCCACCCAATGCTGAGATGATCTTGTAGCTGCTGCTTGCATGCCTCTGAGGACAGGGCACTTGCTGTCTCTTGAAAATCTATGTGGACGTGTGTGGTGGTAAAAAGGCAGATCATGGCCAAACTCTCCCTCTGTTCCTGTCTCCACACTGGGGCCACAGCTGTGGCAAGGAAGATCTTTCAGAGACGAAAGGCAAAGAAGTTCTGTGCCTCTCACCGTGACCCCTTCTCCCCAAGGGCCGCTCACCGTGACCCCTTCTCCCCATGGGCCGCTCACCATGATCCCTTCTCCCCATGGGACACTCACCGTGACCCCTTCTCCCCATGGGCCGCTCACCGTGACCCCTTCTCCCCATGGAACACTCACTGTGACCCCTTCTCCACATGGGACACTCACCATGTCCCTTCCCCCATGTTGCCCCTGTTCTTGTTCAGAATGTACACAGTTGTCCTTCTGCCTCCCAGCCCACCTCATCTCCATCCCTTTCACTTAACCATATTCCTTTTGAGCAGAAGCTGAGACCTCACCTCCATGCCTGACCTAAATAGACAAAATCCTTTCTGTAAACAAAAATGCAATCCTCTAACATCTACCAGGCTTCCTTCCCTTCTACCTTCTCTGCTGAATGTTCTTCCTAGCACCACCTCTCCCCTCCCTCCAAGCCCTCACCTCAAATCCAGTTTCCAGCTTCTCTCTACCACCAGAGAAGTCGAGCTCATAGCCATGGTGTCTTAGGGTTTCTACTGCTATAGAGAGACACCATGACCATGATAACTCTTACAAAGGAAAACATTTAATTGGGGCTGGTTTACAGAGGTTTAGTTTCAGAGGTTTAGTCCATTACTGTCATGGCGAGAAGCATGGTGGCAGCACGCAGGTAGGCCTGGTGCTGAAGGAGGAGCTGAGAGTTTTATGTCTTGATCCACAGGGAGCAGCAAGAGACTGACACACTGAGTGTGGGTTGAGCATATTTGAGATCTCCAACAAGGGCCACATCTCCTAATAGTGCCATTCCCTTAGAGCCAAGCACTCAAACAATGAGTCTATGGGGCCATACCTATTCAAAACACACACAGGGCTTCTGGATCTTAGGTCAGCATTCGGAGCCAATTCTCAAGTATGACAAGTAATCAGATCTTTGGAGGACTTATAAAGACACAGATTGCTGAATTCTAACTTCTTTTTTATATATATTTATTTAGTTATTTATTATGTATACAACATTCTGTCTGTGTGTATGTCTGCAGGCCAGAAGAGGGCACTAGACCTCATTACAGATGGTTGTGAGCCACCATATGGTTGCCGGGAATTGAACTCAGGACCTTTGGAAGAGCAGGCAATGCTCTTAACCGCTGAGCCATCTCTCCAGCCCCTGAATTCTAACTTCTAATTCAGTTTACATGTTAGCTAGTTCCTTGTCATTCTGACAAAAATACCTGATAAAAACCAGTTAGAATGTAAGAAAACACATGTTTTACTCATGGATTCGGAGAATTTAATCTACCATGATGGCGAAGGTATGATGTTACAGGAAGCAGAGCAAGACACTAACAGGAAGCGACCAGGGCAAGATGGAGTTCCCATGGACAGGCTCCCAGGGTCTCATTCCCTCTAATTAGGCTCTACCTACCACAGGTCTACCATCTCCTAGCAGTCTATCTCTGTAGATGACGGGTGTGTTGTCTGCATTTGTGTCTGTGCACCATGAGCATGCCTGGTGCCCAGAGAGACGAGAAGAGGGTGTTGGACCCCCTGGAACTGGAGTTACAGACAGGTGTGAACACTGATGTGAGTACTGGGAATTGAACCTTGATCCTCTGGATGATCGGCCAATGCTCTTATCCACTGAGTCACCTATCCAGCCACCAATCTGGTCAATTTTTGAATCCGTGAATGTATAAAATCATTCACTGGGTCAGAGCCCTTTCGATCTGGTGCTCTGGGAACGCTCTCACAGACACACCCAGAGGTGTGCTTTCCAAATATTCTTGGTGTTTCTCAACCCAAACAAGTTGAAAAGTCAAGCTAAGCCACCACAGTGTTCTCTGAGAAGAACCTGGGAATTTGTATTTCCGGCACATTCCCTGTGATGCTCATGTCTAGAGGTCATGTTTTGAGAACTATAACTTCACAGTGCTTTACTGGGGATAGTTCTTGAAAGACATCCCAAGCCTCAGGGATGGAGCTATGGAAGACTTGGTGGTTGTCTGTCTTTCCTTAACACCAGATGGCCACAGTTGCTTCTAGCAACGTCCTTGGAGACATGCAAGTAGAGACTTCAAGACTGTGTATGTGCCCAGTATCTCTTCCCATAGTCTGTCGAGTCTCTGCCTTTATACCTCCAATGGCAAGATTCTCATCACTTGTTAAGTTAGATCATCCATTGAGTGGCATCTCAGCTTCTACCTGGAGCAGAATACCTAGGAAAATTTTTAATTTCATTTAAATTATGGGGTGGATCGTAGGATGAATCATGCAACTCTGATAACCCTTCAATACTATTCATAAGGTTTCCAGGTATGTAAGTCAAGTCCCTGCCCACACGAAGATACCTCTATCTCAACTGAAGCAATGTCCTCTATTTCACAAACAAAAAACATTCTAGCCAAAAGCAAGAACAGAGTCGGCCTCAGGAAACACACTTTGCCGGATCTGCACATAAACCCCAGAGCTTACTCCCACTACTCTACAGTGTGTCTCTATTGGGGAAAAGGCCTTATTAACATAGGCTCCCCATAGGCTTCCTTGCCCTTGAATTGGCTTTGTACTGGAATTCTACCAGCTCATCCATCCACAACCACACTCTAGGGAAACATTAGAACCAGGACTAAAACCCACTTCTGATTCCAATGCTGGAGTGTTGTGAGAATCCCTTTCTAGAGAGAAATAAACATCACAACATCTCCCCTGTCATTAAAAGGCCCCAGTCACAAACCCAAGTGTTATTTCACTAAAGTTCATCCTAAGGAACCCGTGAGTTTATTGGGCTTACCTATAGAACATGAATGAGGGGCTACCTAGGAGAGCATAGGGGAGCCCAAAGCAGCTACACTAAAGTGTCTTCACCTGACATGGAGGACAGCCTCCCCATAGCCACAGAAATGGAGCCTCCTTCCCCTAGTCTTCCCCAGCATGTATATCCTAGCATCTCCCAAGACTCCAAAGTCACGGGCAAATAGGACAGAATTGCATACGAATGGCTGGGAGCAGCAACTCGAATCTCAGGTGAGGATCCAATGACTCTCTCAACCCTCTCCTCTGACACAAGGGCCAGCAGGCAACAGGCCCAATGGTGATGGTCTCTTGCAACCATGCACAGCTAATCTGATGAAGACGACAGCTGTTTTGTTCATAGAATCACATTCTACAACATGGATGCTCTTCATTAATTCCAGGATAATTTGCTAAATGGTAACCCTAGAGGGCCCTAACTGGAGTGACCTTCCTGTACAGATCTTGTTATTAGAAATGCCAAACCCACAAGTCAGAAGCACCCTGCCTCCTTCAGGGTACCTTCCTCCCAGAGACCATCTAGACCTAAGATACCATAGAAGACCAGAGAGGGCAACAAGACTTACCCAGTCTCCCTTTCAGCTCGACAAGGACCAATCTACCAACCTCATCTAGGCCCTCATCTTACCCCGATGACATCTCTTCCAACCAAAAGAAACCAGCAATAAATTCAAACCACAGAAGCAAACTGTTTTTCTCCTGAGGAGCAAGCAACAATAAAAAATCCTGACAATATCAAGCGCTGGAGAGGATGTGAGAAAATTGTACTTTTCTAGGCTCCTGGTGGAAATGGAAATTTCTACAGCTCCTTTGGAAGAGCAATGGACATACCCAGGAAAATTGAAAGTGTGCATAACATAGAAGCTAATGATTCCACTCTAGGAGACATGTCTGCTCAGAAACTCTCCCGCACAGGCCTGGTGAGATCCAGGGCGAGAATGATGCCTGCGGAATTGTTTGCTGTGGTGAAAAATTGGAAACAATATAAATATGCAACAGGATGTAAATGAGAAACTAAACATGGCCTCTCCGCATGACGGAATACCTGGCAGCCAATTGAATGAAGGGATTAGAGCTACATACATCAACAAGAAGAGAGGTCAAAAGCAAAACAAGCAGTGTGTAAAGGGACCAGGAATAAATCTGAGTAAATGTTGAGAAATGTTCTTATAAAGCAATATCGTGCGTTCTCCCTTCATCATACATATATATGTATGTGAAAATACAAAGGTTTTCAAAAGAATTATTTCAAAAGGCACGGCTATTCGTGAAAAGCAAGATAGCACTGATTCTGAAAAAGGGTGAAGACTCAATCTGGAAGATTTATCAATCTCTGTGTTTTCTCTCACGCATTAAATATATAAATAAAAATATACAGTCATCCAGGTGGTGGCCATGTCAACTCGTTGCTTTTGTATTTTTCTTTATTTTTAACTTCTTGATGAAAGAAATAGAAAGGCTATTCTGAGGTGCTGCCCTCTGGGACCCCCTTGAGCCAGCATGACTGACCAAATGGTGTTTCTTGGATTTCAATAATTCATTGCCCAAGCAGGGCATGAGTGTCCAGTGCAGGCTAAAACCTAGCTCCTGCCATCCTGACTAGAGATGACCTTGGGTTTGAACAAAAAGAGAGAGGGCTTAATGCACTGAATGCTTCTCCACACACTTCAGGGAGGTGCAAGGGAGCTCTCACCTGGTTCAATAATTCATCAGCACCTCAGTGAGATGGGGTGATGACCCCTCCATAGGCCACTCTGGCTGGCGTGAGGTGGGGGCTCATCCAGAGGACAGGAAGGAGTATGCGATGCCCTATAATCATGAAAGAAAAGATCAAATGGGTTCATGAATCACATAGAGACCCTGTAACTATGCAGAGCTCAGTGGAAGGGTGTGTACTAGAACAAACAAGGGCACTGAGTTCAACTCCCACCAGAGGGGGTATCTGCAGGCTCTTCAGGAGGTCTTGGGGAGAGAAAGTAGGCAGAGTTCTGAATGTTGCTTTTCTTTCAAGCTATCAGATGCTTTTGGTGGTTTTGGCCAATGGACCACACTTTGAGAAGCAAGTCTCTCCACTGCTCATGTTATTTGGTCCATTTGCCTCATAATTATATTATAAGCAGGAACATGAATATTGATAGGATCTGGAAGTACTTGGGTCAAAAGAATGAGGAACCAAACCTAACCTATGTGCCCACAAAAAAAGTGGCTAGTGTGACTAAGGCATCGGCATCCCTCTGTTACAGGTTGTGAGCTTTGTAGAGGAAAAAGAATAGAACGAGGTTAAAACATAGAGTTTGGCTCGAGTGACCAATCATCCTTGTTTGGGGGGTCCTAGCATGGCAAATGGCCAAGTTAAGTTGAGCATGTTAGTCACTGTATTCATTTTATGCTTCTGTGACAAAATGAGTGACAGAAACAGCTAAGAAATAGGTGCCACAGCTCACAGTTTCAAGGGGTTGCTGTCCATTATACAGGGAAGGCAAAGCAGAAGGGCTCCGTGCATGGCAGTGGGAGAGAGACTAAGGCAATGGCTGTTCACAGTGTGGTAGACCAAGGGAGCATGGATGGATCTAGAAGTGGGTACAACCTTCAAAAGAGAGGACACACACAGCTGCTGGCTATGCCGCACCTCCAAAGGGTTCCACACACCCCCAAACAAGCACCTTCAGTTAGAGACAGTTCAGACTCAAGCCATCAGAGACACATGTCAAAATACAGCTTCAAAGAACTAACTGTGGTGGCAGAAATGAGGAAATCGTTCTCTCCAGAAAGGAGGGTGCTGAGAGATTTGACTATAAAGATTCTGGAAGTAGCTGGTATTGCTGGTCTGAAGGCCAGGCTTCCTAAGGAACAAATGTTCTGGGCTGAGAGAAACACGCCTTTGTCATAGAAGTCCAGATGTGCCCCACTCATGACTTACCGGATATCTACGGCTGTAGCTCAACCCAAAGGCCATAGACCTACTTGAAAGATTAACACTTTTATAACTCAATTCCACAGTCCCAGAGTGCAAACTTTGTAGGTGTCACTATTAAGCCAAAATGACAAATATCCGATCACAACATCAAAAAGTTGAATATGCCTGGCACTCTACACTACTCAGCATATTTGGGGCTGCAGAGATGGCTCAGCAGTTAAGAGCACTCGCTGCTCTTCCTAAGAACCTGAATCCAGCTCCCAGCACCTACACACTAGCTCATAACTACCCACAACTCCAGTTACAGGGGATCTGATGCCCTCTTCTGACCTCTGAGGGCACCAAGCATGCTTGCGGGGCACAGATACATAAGCAGGCAAAACATTCCCACACAAAACAAATAAACGCAAAAAAGCTTTTAAAATAAGTCTTTAAAAGAAATTTTATCATACTTTAAATGTGTACATTATCCTACACTGGGGAGACTGAGGCAGGAGGATTGTTAATTCAAGTCTATTCTGGGATTATATAGCGGGACACTGGATCAAAAACTAAAATTTGAGCACCTTACTGCATGCTAATTGTACTGCAATACAAATACCTAAAACAAAACCAGGAGGCTGCAGCAAGAAGGTTGTGAGTTCAAAGCTAGGCTGAGCTATGTAGTAAGACCTTGTCTCAAAAAAATTTAAAGTCACTCTAGCTGCTGAAAGGCAATTCAGACAACAGAAGTGTCACTAGACTGTCCCTTTTCCTTTCCAATGGCTCCTGCATGCCGGTGCCCACACTTAACCGCAGCCTCCATCTCCTCTCTGGGCCTCGAGCAAACTGACTCAATCCATGTCTGTCCCCAGCTCTCCTTTCCAGCGCTGTGCAAACACTTCCCAGGACTCTCAGGCCTGCCTCACCCTGCCCACAGATGCCTGGAGCTGTGTTTAAAGCCCAGGGACCTAAGTTCCCGCCTCAGTGCCGCGCCGACTTTTCCTAGGGAAGCATAAGCACCCGTCTATTCCCCCAAGATAGGACAGCCCAAAAGCATAGCTCCACCAAGGTCCAACTTGGCAAATCAACACATTTATTGGGTTAACTCATGAAGCATGGTGCTGGGTTAGTTAAAGGAATTTTGGTGACTCCAAAACAGCTATGCTACCAAAAAGTCCCCCCAGCGTGGACAATGATGTCCCCACAGCCCTGTAGATGGAGCCCCCACAGTTAACCTTCCACACCCTACATACTCTAACCCCCCTGAGACCACAGGACCACATGCAGATGGAGCACATACATACATATATACAGCTGGCAGGGAAAGACATGAAGGGGATGGCTGAGAGCTCAGGGTCTAAAGACCCTCTTATCCCCTCCTCCTTTCACGAGAAAACATCAGTCGACTTGATCTTGAGGGTCACTTGTGGATTGTTGCAGTTGCTCTGATTAAGATGCTAACAGCTGCTATGCTCAGGGCAGAGAGTCCTGCAATACTCAGTAGGTCTGGGTGGGTTCCTAACAAGCTCCCAAACAGCTTGAGAACCAACAAGGCACTTTCCATAGAAGTTGGCCAAGTAGATAAACAGCCAGCCACAGATGAGGTATCCCATCTGGGCTCCTGGGCTGGGTCTGCAGCTCTCTTCCTGGGAGAAATGTCTTAGGCCAGCCTTCCTCCCTTTAGAGTTCCAGCATCCTCGTTTGTAAGATAGGTATAATAAGACCAGCCAGCGTTCAGGAGGCTGAATCAAGAGAAACACTGCAAATTCAGCCAGCCTGGGGCTACAGATGGGTCTCCATGCGAACCTGGGATGTCGGTGAGACTCTCTCACCAAAAAAAAATAATAATAATAAATTAATAATACAAGAGTTAGTACCAACCTCCAAACTTGGTATGTGTCCAAGTTTCCCCCAAGTCCCCTATTGGAATTTGTATCTAGAAATCCTTCAGATTTATGATCTCCCCCAAAGTATGGACATTTAATTCCTTCTGGAACCTTCCAGCCGTAACCATTCACAGATTATCTGAAAGCTGACTTCATCCTGTGGTAAAGACATACATTCCCTCAAAATATCTCTGTGTCCACACACTGTGAGACACCCTAGGGTCTCCAAAGTAAGGGACAGGAATTCCTAGGCTAGTGCAGGATAGATATAGCAAGATGTATTAGATACACAAAATTTATTCCCTACACTTTTATGGAAGAAACCAGAAAGGCTTCCTGTTGCAGGACTGAAGGATATTCAAGAGCTCAGATACACAAGACATCAGGTTCCCCCAAGAGGCACACAAACATCTCAACATGGGGCTCTTCTTGCCCTTCAGAGAATAGTTTTGTGCACACAGTTAATGCTCAAGACTGTGTCATCATCAACTTAATCGGCTTGGTTTCTGCAGAGCCTTCCTGGACTAATACTGTGTCTGACCATGGCCTGAAACATGAGAGCGTTCTTTAGCAGATTCTGCTGTGAGAAACAAAACCTCCGTTTGTTTACCTAGCAGCAAGCCAATTCACTTGTGTGCGCACTGAGAATTCTCCAGTAAAAGTACAGGAGAAAAAGCTCCACCCTAAGCTCCCCCATGGACCCCAATAGGCTACCCTGAGCACTGAGCCTCCATCATTGGCTCCTTGAAGCCTGGGGTCCCACATCCTTACATCATCCCTATTCTAAAACCTCCTAAACACTGTCCCTGACAGAAGCAAAAGAGTCAAGACAAGACAAGACTTTTCCAGAAATGAGCAGAGTGACTTACTTTATAACCTAGCAGTGCCTAGTATATGCCTGTGAGCCAACTGGGCCTCAGCTTCCCCATCTGTGATAGGATAAAATGCCTTTGGGTTTGAATGTGCTATTGCCCATAGGCTCCTGTGTTTGAACACTTGGTCCCCAGCAGGTGGTGCTCTCTTGGAAGGAGTGACTCCTTGCTTGAGGTGAATCAACTGTGGAGGGCTTTGAGGTTCATAGTGCGGCCCCACTTTCTGTCTACTTTCTCCTTACTGATTATGGAAACAGCCTGGCCAACTGCTTATCCCTCCTGCCTCCATGCCTTTCTTATACCCCTTCTGGAACTGCAAGTCCAAAGAGACCCTCTCTCCACTAAGTTGCTTCTTGTCAAATATTTAACCACAACAAGAAAAATAACTTACATAAATGTCACCACTCAATAGTGTGGAGATTAAGGAAGCAAGTGTGGAAAGAGGCCACAGTCATGGCCGCCGTCCCTCCCTCTGCCCCTGGAAACTGTTTATAGAGAAACAAGACTTGCTGGGCAGGGTACTTTGTGCCTCGTCCACCTCTACCGTCCCCTCACCACCTTTCTGCGAGGCTCTGGGACCCTGTGAACGCCCAGATCTTCGTGGCACAGCCTTGAGCAACAAGCTGGGAAATACCATTCACTGCACCTGAAATGGTGACATTTCAAATCGAGAGCATATCACACATCTTCCTCCTGGGTTGAGCATAATGGAGAACTCCCACGCCCTTTCCATTTCCTTCTCAAGGGTCCTTCCTCACCTCTCACACTGGACAGTTCGTTGCCATCTTATTTAATCCCCTCAGCAAACCCTGCTTGGGGGTACGGCGAGTTAATGCTCCAGTCAATTCAAAGGCTTGGAAGTACCTAAGCGGCAGAGCTGGGGTTTAAACCAGGACTCCCTGACTCAAGAGCATAAGAGAATTATCTTCTGTACTCACTTGATGCAACCAAGGACAAGGTCAGGCTCTCTCTGACTTCAGACCAACCCGTCTTCCACACCAGAGAAGGTCTGGACCAGAACCCAGACAATGTCCTGGAACTCTCCAGCATCCACCAGACATACAATCCTTGTGATGGGGCCAGGAACTCAGGTCCCCATCCTCAGATGAGGATGCAGAATCTCCCAGCAGGCCTCCTATAGAGCCTGACTGC